GCCGCCTTCGGCCCCGGGCAGGCGGTGTCGGGCCGCGTGGTGCTGGAGCTGGCGGCGGCGGCGCGGCTGGGAGCCCTGAGGCTGCGGGCGATGGGCGCTGCCCGCGTTCACTGGACCGAATCCCGCAGCGCCGGCTCCAGCACCGCCTACACGCAGAGCTACAGCGACCAGGTGGAGTTTCTCAACCACCGGGACACGCTGCTGGCACCCCCAGGTACGGCACCCCGAAGCGGGGCGGCACCCCGGGGGCGGCTCCGAGAGCGGCGGCGTGGGCGCCCCGGAGACCCCGGGGCTGAAATAACGGGGGTACGGGGCTGCCTGAGGCACGCTGGCTGCCGGGCGTGCGACACCCCAGCCAGCTGAAATCGGGGTGCTGGGGCACCCCGGCTGCTGGGTGTGTGGCACCCCAACCAGCTGAAATCGGGGTGCTGGGGCACCCTGGCTGCTGGGTGCTTCAGACACCCCAGCCACCTGAAATCTGGGTGCCTGGGGCACCCTGGCTGCTGGGTGTGCGGCACCCCAACCTGCTGAAATTGGGGTGCTGGGGCACCCTGGCTGCTGGGTGCTACACCCCAGCCAGCTGAAATTGGGGTGCTAGGGACACCCTGGCTGCTGGGTGCCCCAGACACCCCAACCTGCTGAAATCTGGGTGCCAGGGACACCCCAGCTGCTGAGTGCATGACACCCCAACCCACTGAAATCTGGGTGTCAGAAGCACCCTGGCTGCTGGGTGCCCCAGACCCCCCAACCTGCTGAAATCTGGGTGCATGGCAAAGCCTTGTGGGCCAGGCACTCTGGGGACTGGGTGCATAGGTCCCCTCCAGATGCCTCAAATGCTGAGTGCACCCCGGGGTCCTGGGGTGCACAGCCAGACCCTGCTGCCCTGCAGGGCACCCCAGTTAGGGACTGGCCCCACACAAGACTCCCCCTTTGCTGTGGGTGCTCCCTGGCAGGGAAACAGCGTTGGAAGACTCCTGCGGAGGTCCAGGAGCTTGCTTTGAGCAGGGGGGTTGGACAATCCCTGGATGTGGGTGATCCCCAGAGGTCCCTTCCAACACCAGCCGCTCTGTGCAATGCAGGCAGGACCCGGGGGGCCACGGGGGGCTTGGCTGCTCCCGGGAAGGGGCTGGCCACCCTCCCAGAGGGCACCGCCGGGCTCTCGCAGGGTGGCTGCAGGGTGAAGCAGAGCCCACCCGGGGAAGCTGCCCGGCTCTCCGAGGGGGTGCCCCTGGCTTGTGCGTGCCTGGAGACACGTGGAAAGCAGGCAGTGCCCGGCACCCGCGGGACGTGCCCAGCTCTCACGTCACAGCTGTGTGACTGCTGCTGCAGTTTAACCCTGGCAGAAATATCCCTGTGCCGTCGTGCTGCTCCTTTGCTGTGTACTGTACATCTCTGCCACCGATTCGCCCAGGGAGGAAGTTCTGCAGGAGGGAGATAATCGTCTTAAATCTGTTGTGCCCACAGACAATGGTGAAATCACCGTCCTGCCGGCAGGAAGGCACGAGTTCCCCTTCACCTTCCAGCTCCCCGAGTAAGTTGATTTTTTTTTTTTTTTTTGTTGCCTTAATGCAAAGGGGGAGAGGAGGTGCTTGGTCTGTGACACGGGTCCTGGGGGGGGCACAGGGCGCCTTGAAAATGAGATTTTTTTTTTCACCAAAGCCCTCCTAAATTGTTCATTGCTTATACGTAGGACCCTGGCTACCTCCTTCGAGGGAAAGCACGGCAGTGTGCGCTACTGGGTGAAAGCCAAACTGCACAGACCCTGGTCAACAGTGAAGAAGGTGAAGAAGGAGTTCACTGTGATTGAACCCATCGACATCAACACGCCGGCACTGCTGGTGAGCTCCCCCGGCTCCGCCTCGGGGCAGCAGCATCCAAAACTTCCCCGGGAAGCCCACAGGGAAGGTGTCTGCCTCCCCTCAGGCATTACAATGCAGGCCTGATCTCCAGAGGAAATATTTGCCCCCCGTAACTTGTGCCCTGGGCAGAGGTCATCTCTATCTCTTAGTTTTTGGAAACTTTAGTGCATTGCGACAGCATCTTGCATCAGATACCTAAGAAGTTGCTGATGCTCCTCAGCAGGTTCTCGGTGCCAGGGAGGTGCTTGCTTTGAGTTTCATCCTTTCTTGCTAAATAGCTTAAACATTTCCCTTTCTCCAGGCTCCCCAGGCAGGTGCTAAGGAGAAGCTTGCTCGTGCCTGGTACTGCAATCGTGGCCAGGTTTCTGTGACTGCCAAGATTGACCGAAAAGGCTACACCCCAGGTGAGACAACGTGCTGGTACCCGTGAACCTCTGCAGGCCCTGGGGTGGACCCCAGCAGGAGGGGATGTGGGGTCACCGTGAGCTGGGCTCTTGACTTCTGGCACGAAATCAGTCCGAGAGCCTTAGTGTGCGCACCTGGTGTGGGCAGCCGCCTCGGGACAGGCTCCTGCTAGATTAAACCTTGTGCCGGCAGTGCCAGATAGCATGAGCAACCCTCGGTGATCCTATGCAGGAATTCCTTGAGGCAGGACTGGGCTCCATCTCCCCTCCTCCAACATATGTGTCTGTTTTGGTAGGTGAGGTCATCCCTATCTTTGCTGAGATCGACAACTGCACAAGCCGAGCGGTGGTGCCCAAGGCGGCCATCATCCAGACTCAGACCTTCATCGCTCGGGGCACCAAGAAGCAGAAGAAGTCGGTGGTGACCAGCATCGTCGGTGACTCCATCGCAGCGGGGAAGCGGGAAGTGTGGCACGGGCGGGCGCTGAAGATCCCGCCGGTGGGTCCGTCCATCCTCCAGTGCCGCATCATCCAGGTGGACTACTCCCTGAAGGTGAGGACCTCGCGGGGAGCGTTGCAGGCGGCTCAGCTCAGTGTTAAGCATTTTCCCCTTCTCACCAGGGCTGTGCTCATCGCTTTGGGCTTGTGCAGGGATTTTGGGGTTGGTGATTTGTGTAAGGCCTTGGGTTCGCCCTGTGCAGCTGTGGCCGCTCTCCCCGTTGCCACTCGTGCACAGCACAAGGGCTCGTGCAGGAGCATTTGCGTCTCCCTTTGCATCCCACTGCAAGAATTCCCTCTGGGCCAGCTTGAGCCAGTGCTCTGGGGGGGTACCTGCCCCTCCAGACTGGGAAAACACCAACAGCTTCTCTGCTCTCTCCTGTCTCTGAAGGTTTGTGTGGATATTCCTGGGACGTCCAAGCTGCTCCTTGAACTACCGCTTGTCATTGGAACCATCCCGCTGCATCCGTTTGGGAGCCGCACGTCCAGCGTCAGCAGCCAGTACAGCGTCAACCTGGACTGGCTGAGCACCATCCCGGAGCAGCCGGAGGGTGAGTGTCTCCCTCTCCCCAGGATCTGTCTGGGTGCTGCAACCCCCCATGGTCACCCTGCTGTGGATAGCGAGGGTCAGAGCCAGTTCTCAACCTTGTCTCTTGCTCCAGGACCAGCTTTTGCTTTTTTACTTAATTTTTTGGTTGTGGTGCTGCATCTCCTGGGCTTCTTCCCCCAGGAACTGGGAGGGTTTGGGAAATAGTGGATTTCAAGCCCTTTTACCTGCATGTCTCCCATTAATGGAGAGTGTTTCCTGCTCCCTGATGGTTCCCTTCTCTCTTCAGCTCCCCCTGAATACTCGGCGGTCGTGTCCAGCCCGGAGGCTGAGCAGAGCCTGGCTCCGCCGTGCCGCAGCGAACTCGGCGGCATCCTGGAAGGTCCCTTCTTCGCCTACATCCAGGAGTTCCGCTTCAGACCACCTCCGCTGTATTCGGAGGTAACAAATCCCCTCGGGCTGGGAAGGCTGCTGGAGGTGGCTGTGATGTGCCTGCTGCCGAGGTTTTTGACTCTAAACTTGGCTTTGCAGATCGATCCAAACCCTCCTTCAGACAACATCCGTCCGCGCTGCATGACCTGTTGAGAGAAGAGCATCGGATGCGGTTGACAGTGTGGCGATCCCTTGGGATGAAAGCTTGCACCCTCGCAGCACTTCGGTCTGGAAATGGGGACGCGGCGGCCATGAGACGAGAGCTCCTGCAGCGCCGAGACCCCGGCCCTGCTCACTGCCCTCAACTCCTGTTGTCACGACTGTCCCACGGACTGACACCAAGCGTAGCGTTGTGGACTCGTGCATGGTAGGAGAACACGTGAGACTCCGCGGCGTGGAGCGGCTCCATGTGTGGTTGGGCAGGACGCGGAGGGTTAACAACTGCCCCGGGATTCTGGGGTTCAAAGGGGGGATATTTGCTCTCCCCTTGCCTGCAGTGGCCATGCTCTGGCAACTCCTGTCATGGAAAACAGGAGCTTGGAGGTATTTCTCAGGATTACTAGAGAATATTTTAATCGTGCTCGGGTTTGAGTCCCATGGTGATGGAGGTGCAGCCCTTCTCCTGCAGTAGCTCACCAGGACTGTGGCTCCCTAAGAAAGTAACAGGCCTTTTTCTGGCCAGATGAAGCAGAGACGTCGTCCGCTGCTGATAATCTTTGCCACGAGCCTGGTGATGCCTGCAGGGGGAATGGTTTGAGCTGATCTACCGAAACTGTAAAGGCTTCCATGGGCTGAGGACTTGGGGGATGAATTTTTATCATTTGTGGCAGCATTTTGGTGCCGTTTACCAAGAACAGGAAAGCTGGTTCCTGTGTGTTAGCACCAAACCCGCACCATGTGCTGATGCCTCCCCCACGATGGGGCTGAAAACCAACCCCCAAACTGTGGTACCACCCCGGGGGTGTTGGAGCTGCGGCTCTGGCATCTCCCTGGTAGCCAAGGAAAAGAGAAGGAAGCCTGGTCTGAGGCTGGTGGCAGCCACAAATGCTGATGGGAGATGTGGAATTGAAATGAGTCCTTCAGGGCCAGGAGTCCTGCTCAGGACAGGTTTGATCCTGCACCCATAGAGGGGTTGGTGGCCCCGGTGCGGTGAGGACACAGCAGCAACACGCGCTTACCAGCATGGGAACCGGTGAGCCGGGTGTTGTAGCAAAGACCGCTTGCGTGTGCATGCCAGGGGCTGACCCCGCTCGCTCTGGCATGGCCTGAGCAGAGTTTGGGTGCTGAGGACCTTTGCATTCCCTCACTGAGACAATCCTGCCCGCGGGGCTGCTCGCTTCCCCGCGCACAACCAAAGCCAGGCGTGCCTTAGCCTCCGTGCTGGGGCCGCGCTCTGCTTGCTCGGGATTGTTCAGGTGATTTTTGTATCTGTGAACACTTTTATAACGACCACTCTTGTCTCTGATTAGTCTTTTTTATATGACGACTTGTTGGAGAATTTTTGTTTGAAATAAATTCTTTAAACCCAGATGTTGCCTGGATATTTTCCTGTTGCTCTCTTTCTGTTGGATTCGCTCACCGGCTCTGCCCACGCTTCCCATTGCCCGGAGCTGCACAGCTCACGTGGCTGTTGGGATGTCGGAGTGGGAGTGCTCCCTCCCCTCGCTTCATCGCCCTGCGGGCACCCAGCTCCATCCTGCACCCAGTCCCACTGTGCACTGGGATTAACTGGGTCACTCGGCCAGTGCTGCTCCCCAGCAGGATTGGTCCCCTGTGCTCGGAGCCCCCCTGCCCAGATGTCGGGCTCCCAGGGCGAGCACTGAGCGATGCGCCGTGCCTCCAGCTCCTCCACCTCTGTGCAGGTTTGGCCCTTTTCCCGTCACCGGCTTAGCAGGGCTGCGAGCAATCCTGTTGTATTTTTCCACGCTCACTCCTATTTGTGCCCGGGCTGCCGGAGGACAGAGAGCTGCCTCCATCCCGAGAGCCCGGTGGGGACCTGGCAGGTCCCACTGGCACAGAGGAGCCGGGGCCCTCCTGCAGTGGCTCGGCCATTCCCAAGGAAGGTTGGGATCAGCCCCTTGCTGTGCCGGCTGGGAATCGCTCCTCCTGTGTAGGAAGAGCAGAGGGGCTCCTTTACCTGCTTCCTTGGCTTAAGGTTTGGTTTTTAACAGCATTTCTGTGCTCCACATCTCTGCTGAGCACAGCAAATCTTGCATGGGGTTTAGTTATGCCTTCCACAGACCGTGGTGTTTAAAAATATTGCCATGGGAATGTAATTTTTTTTGTTTGTTGAGCTGCTCTGCGTCGCAGCACGTGCTCCTGCAGTGGGCCAGGCGCTCGGCCGCAGCCCAGCGAGATAACTCATCCTGCTGTTTGCCTGCGACAGCCTGGTGCGTGTGCAGCCTTTATTCAAATCTGATTTTTATTTGGCATCCCCGGCCGCACCAAGCAATCTGCCTCAGAAGAGGATTAACCGGCCTCACAGTGAATTTGTTTGCATCCTCGTTTGGGGAGATGCATGCCCGGATCTGCCGCTGACGGTAGCGGCGGCCGGGGCTGCGTGGCCTCGCAGCTCAGCCACGCTGGCGCGTTTTGGTGACATCAAAGGGTACAAACCACAGTGCTGCAACCCCCCTGGATAAAGATGCCTCCAAAGAAAACCCTATGATCAGCCCCCCGGGGCCGGTGTGCAGCCAATCTCCGCCACGCTGCGGCATGGCACAAGGGAGCCGTTCTGCCGGCAAACGCTGAGCGGCAGAGACGGCCGGGGGCTGCCGGTCCGACCCCAATCATCTGCCCCAGCCGCACAAGGGGATGCTTATTCCCAGGGCCAGAGGAGGAGGAGAGCCGCCGAGCACCCCATCCGTCCCGCTGTGCCTTTCTGGGAAAGCACATCACGCCGTGACGGTGACAGCCACGGGGACAGGCCATGCTGGGCTGGGGAACCCAACGCCGGTGGGCACCACTCCCGGTCCTCATGTGGGAGGGATCTTTCCAGCAGGATTTTGAATTCTTTCAGATGCCTCCAGGTTTTTCTCATAAAGCTGGACAGTAGCACAGCAAGGGAGGGGGGGCACAGCCCGTCCGGGTTTCTTGCCAGCAAAAGGACTGCGCTCCTGAATGCTGGAGGGGCTAAAAATACCCTGTCTGGATATTCGGAGCTGCCCCGGAGCCGGGGCGAGGCACAGACCCCCCCGGCAGCGCTTTCACAACTGCTGGCTGTGCCACCGGCGCTCCCTCCAACCTGCTGTTTATCTTCCCCGGCTCCAAAGTCCTTGTTGAACAGCACCAGCTGCTCTCCTGTTCATCGGCATGGGGGGGTTTGGGGCATGCGGGGGTCCCTGGGGGTCTGCTGAGCCAGGACAGCCCTGTGCCATGTGCGGCGGCACCGGCCGCAGCATGGAGACCCGGTGCCGGGCGGGAGGCGCGTTATGCAATTACAGTGCCGGCAGTATTTATAGCTCCTGGCCCCACGTGTTGGAAAATGCTTCCCAGACCACCCGGCCAAATCTGCGCAGCCCCTTTCTGCAGGGTGTCGGGGGGCTGCTCCTTCCCCCCCCGCTGTCCCCATCCCCGGAGGATGCTTGCTCCCGGCACAGCAGCCGTGGTCTTCGCTTGAGGCTGTTGTCCTCCGGCGAAGGGTCAGTGGCGCAGGGCCACCGCAGCCATGTCGCAGGGAGGGCGACACACGAAGCTCACGGCCGTCCCGGCGCTGGCAGGGACAGAATGTGCCGGCGCCGGTGCAGCCTTGCAAGGGCCAGAGATCAGCTGCGCGGCTGCTGCTTCCCGGCCTGGGCGCCCATCCAGCTCCCAAAACAAGCGCAGCCTTCCCCCAGCCCAGCTGGGCTGAGCCCTGCAGGGTGCAGCTCGCCCCAAAACACCCGCCATGGGGGCACTGGGCCTGGGCTGTTTGCAGGGAGGGGCGGTCAGGGATGATAAATCTGGATTCTGCCCTAATGGGGATACCCCGCTCTGTCCCCATGCTGGAGACAGGGTCGATGTGCTGTCCATCTTTGCAGCCAGTGGGATGCTGGGCTTGCACTGCTCACACCTCAGGGAGCAGCAAATCGGTGCTGATGGGTGCTCAGGAGCACAGGGACCTGCTCATCCCCGGGTTACAGGACACATGCCATGCCAGCGGGTCCCTGAGCGCCCTGGGGACACACATGCAGTCCCCGGCAGCACAGGGCCTTGCTTTGGTTTTGCACCAACCTCCGGTGCTGCAAACAGCACAGCTTGGCCGCAGCAGCATCTCCAGGGACCCCATTTGCATGGCGGTGGCAGAGCTCTGCCGGGGCCCCGGGAAGCAGCCGTGCACCCCGACATGCCAGGGCGGCACCGCGGCCATCCTCCGCCTGCTGACTCAGCCGCCTGTTTGCCAGAGCTGCTCCCGCCCACGACAACCACAGGCAAAGTCCCCACATCCCTGCGCCGGGGCTTTCCCCGCCGGCTCAACAGGAATCACAGCTTTTTCCCGGAGCAGTGGCCGAGCCGGCGCGGGCAGCAAAAGCCTCCAGGTGCAGGGGAAAACTGCGGAGAAACCGGGGCTGGTTTATGCCAAAAAACAGGGTCTGGAGCAGCCGGATGGATGCGTCCCACGTGCCACGTGTCCTGTGCCCTGGGAGCACCATACCAGCGCGAGCGGGCATCACGGTGCTCACCGAGACACCCCACAAACCCTGATGGCGGCGCTACTGGTGCCGGTGCAGCATTTACCGTGGGGCTGGCTGATGCCGTGGGCTGCTGGGAGCAAATCACCACCTTTATTCGCTATATCAACCCCCCCCCCTTGTTTTTCTGGGGCGAACCCCCCCTTATTGGGGGTCCCTCGCTGTGGGGCTCCCGGCCCCTCGCGCGGTCACTGCTCCCTCCCTCGGGCAATGGAAAATTTTTATGACTTTTTGACTTTTATCCAGTTGTTTGGGAGCGAGGAAGGGGCCGGGCGCCGCGCACAAACATGTCTATGTATAAACAGCGGGGACCATGGCGGGGGGAGCTGGAGCTGCCAGCGCTGGGTGCTGGCAGGGACCCACCCCACCGAGCCGGGTGTTCCCTCTCCCAGTGGCCCCGGCTTGGCGACCCAGAGCCGTCCCCACGGGGATGCAAATATTTTGGCTTTGTTCAAAAAAACAACAACACTAAAATATCCCCCCTCCCGAGTCATCCGATGGCGGCGCGTGACGTGTTGGCACACAAACAGGGCGCGTGGCGATGGTGCTGGCCTGGCTGGGGACGCGGCACGGCTCCCACGCCGGCGTGCGGGGACAGGCTGGGATCTGCGGTGACACATCTATGCCCTGTGCCAGGGACACGGCACGGCGGGACTTTGGCCCCAGCACGGCTCCCCACCCCGGCCATATTTGCCGTTGCTCCCGGGCACTGCTCCACAAGTTGTATGGAAACCCCCGACCGGCGCGGGGTGCCCATCCCCTGCCACATCTCGGGGACGCATCGTGGTGGCATCCCGCGCCCTGACCACCGCATCTCCCTGCAGCTAAAACCTTGCTTGCGCAGGGCGTTTGGCACCAGGGAGGATGCAAGCAGCACTGCTGCCCTCGCCGGTGGGCTGCTCCGGGTGCCGGCGGGGACGTGGCCATCCCCTACCGAGAGGCGAGGACCAGGGGGCCATCACCCCCGCTGTTCCCCATCCCCTGCCACCTCAGCCCCACTCCCGGGGCAGCTCCTGCGATGGGGTGACCCTGGCAAACCCCACAGCTCCAAACCCCCATCTGCTCCCCAGTCTCAAAGCCTCCAGAAACAGGGTCGGGCTCCTTTTTTTCTTCCCCTTTTCCCCCCGCCCCTGCAAGAAGCGGCAATTTTGAGCCATTTTCAGAAAAGCCCTTGAGCCAAGCCCGGGTTGGAGGAGAGGAAAGCTCTGAGCCAACTTGCAGGGATGCCCACACATCCCCAGGAGCCTGCAATTCAACCCCCTCCCCATTACTGACCTTGTTAGCAAGCCTGCACCCAATTACTTTTAAATGCAAGGGTTTACATGGAGCAGGGAGAGGGATTTTCCTGCTAAGCAGCTGTGTAAATGCCACCATATCCCAGCACAGCGATGGAGGCAGCGATAGCCTGGGGGGGCCCAGCTGGTTGGAGGTGGCCACAGCAGGTAGCACCGGCGGGGAGGGCGGCCACGGCTCCTCCGGAGGGTCCCGAACTGGTTCACTCCGCTTTCCTGGCAGTTTTGTGTGTGAAAAAATGAGGAGAGTCAATCTGCTTGCAAAGAGCTGGTGAAGGCCAGGAGGGTGGATTGGGGTGGGGGGATTGCTCTTGGTCCTGAATGTCTTGCTGTAAGGCTCAGCTGGTTGCATGCTCCGGGATCAGCCCTTTCCCTGTATGCATGGATGGGGGGTTTGCTGCAAAAATGGGATTTTTTTGGAGAAATGGGGCTCTCTGGTTCCT